AGTTATCTCCACAAGCTTGGACGGGTCAATTTGCACCCCAGACCCTAAAGTTCAGAGGGTTAATTGGTGGACTTTCGGTTATGGTATTAGTGGATACGAACAGTACCCACAATATCATGCAGCCCTGCATCGCCCATCATCTTAACCTACATGCTACCCTAATTCCCCAGTTTTTTGTCATGTGGGAAATGGCTCCCATTTACAATGTGCGGGAATGTGCAATAATGTCCAATTCAAACTTCAAAACACTCATTTCACCCTTCCTTTTTATCTCCTCCTAATCAAAGGCGCTGATGTTTTTCTTGGCATGGCGTGGTTACACACGTTAGGTCCCATAAATGCTGATTTTTCAATTCCCTCCATCACTTTCACACACCTAGACAAGACTATTACTCTTCAAGGCGATCCCTCATCTCACCCCACTCCGACCATATTTCACCAACTCCGCCACCTTATTCATATCAATTCCATTTCCTCTTTTCATTTACTGCTCATGGACCATATGGAACAACCTGAACATAACACTAGAACTTCTCTTTCCACCCAACCAATTGTTCCATCGCCCCTGCACCCAGAAATCTCTAACTTAATCACCAAGTACCAGGCCATTTTCCAACATCCTATTGGCCTTCCTCTGTCTAGACCCCATGACCATCATATTAACCTGATCTCTAACACCCTGCCCGTTAATGTTAAACCATACCGCCACCCACATTCAAAAAAAAGATGCCATGATAACCATTATTCAAGATATGCTACAACAAGGCACAATTATACCTAGCACTAACCCTTTTTCCTCCCTTGTGCTACTTGTTAAAAAAGGATGGTTCTTGGCGTTTTTGTATGGATTATCGCGCATTAAATGCAGTCACAATCAAAGACCATTTTCCTATTCTTACAATTGATGAACTATTAGATGAGCTGGGTACGGCTCAGATATTCACTAAGATAGACCTACACTCTGGTTATCACCAGATTCGTGTTGCACCAAAAGATACACATAAAACAGCTTTTCAAACTTTTGATGGGAATTACGAGTTCCTTGTAATGCCTTTTGGCCTCACTAACGGCCCATCTACCTTTCAGTCTGCTATGAATGATTTGTTGCGACCTTATTTGCGAAAATTTGTGTTGGTTTTTTTTTTATGATATCGTAATTTTCAATTCTGATTTTAGTGATCATCTACATCATTTATAGGTGGTGTTTGACTTATTAGCTACTCATTCTTTTTTTGTCAAGTTATCAAAATGTGTCTTTGCAGTTAATCAAATTGACTACTTAGGACATGTGATTTCATCTGATGGTGTTGCTTCCGATCCAGAAAAGATTAAAGCAATTCTAGATTAGCCACCTCCTCGCTCTCTCATTACTCTTTGTGGTTTTCTAGGCCTCACTGGATTTTATAGGAGTTTTGTTAAAAACTACGCCACTCTTGCCGCTCCTCTCACCGATTTGTTATGTTTCACTAATTTTAAATGGAGTACAGAGGATGATTTAGCCTTTACAGAATTAAAAAAGAGAATGGCCGACATGTTGGTCCTAAGGCTACCAGATTTTACAAAATTATTTTCAATTGAGACAGACGCGTCTGGTGTGACCATTGGGGTTGTCACAGGAGGGTCACCCGATAGCCTTTTTCAGTAGGAAAATGTGTCCGCGAATGCAATCCTCTTCAGTTTATGTCCGGGAGATGTTTGCGATCACCCAATCTGTCAAGAAATGGCGTCAGTATCTCATCGGACAAAAATTTCACATTTTTACTGATCAGAAGAGCTTAAAAAATCTACTACTATAGAGAATCCAGACACCAGAACAACAGAAGTGGACTTCCAAATTACAAGGCTTTAATTTCGAGATTTTTTACAAACCTGGAAAAGCAAACGTAGTAGTAGATGCTTTGAGCCGGAAATTTTAGGAGAAGACACCCTTGTTCCTTGCTATCTCCTCCCCTGTTCCGCAACATATAACCACACTCCGAGCTTTTATGCAAATGACAGCACAGGAAAACAGTTAGTTCAGTAACACACACACAACAAAACTGTTTTCATTTTTCTCAGGGTATTCTACACTATAAGGATAGACTTTTCGTATTGGATATACAAAGTCTTCGTCAGCAACTCCTCTCGGAGTTTCACAACACACCAACAGCGGGACACTCTGGTGTGAAAGCCACCCTTGCACGACTACGTTCTTCCTTTTGTTAGCCCAACATGTACCTAGCAGTCAAAGCCCTAGTTAAAAATTGCACAACTTTCCAATAAAATAAGTATGAGACACAAAAACAAAGGAGGTTGTTACAACCTCTACCTATCCCTAGCAAAGCGTGGAAAGAGTTGACCATGGACTTCATCACCCACCTGCCAAACTATTTTGGCCATACGGTCATTTAGGTCATCTGTGATCGCCTCACCAAATTTATCCATTTCATCGCTTTACCTACTAAGTTTTTGCGCAAGCCTTGGCATCTCGTTTCTCTGTTAAAGTATTTCGCCTACATGGATTACCCAAGTCCATCATTTCAGATAGAGATCCATTGTTCCTCAACAGTTTCTGGAAAGAATTTTTTAAACAACAAGGCACCATATTAAAATATAGTACAGCGTACCATCCGGAGACCGATGGTCAAACAGAGGTGGTAAATCGATCGCTGGAAACATACCTTCGGTGTTTGGTTGGAGATCATCCGCGTCACTGGTTCAAAGTACTTCATCTTGCAGATTATTGGTACAATATTGCATTTCATTCTGCCATCCAGATGTCTCCTTTCAAAGCGTTATACGGCCTTGATCCTCCGATGCTCTTGGATTATGTGGCAGGAACATCCACAACGGACCCTCTCGATTTAGCCCTGCAAAATCAACAACAAACCCTAACTCAGTTAAAAAACATCTAAAACTCAGCAAAGTCAAAATGGAAAAACAAGAAAATCCCAAACGCCGTGATTTTACCTTTCAAGTAGGTGATTTATTGTGGTTGAAACTTCAACCCTACCGTTAGAACACAGTTGCTCGTCGTGTTTCATAGAAATTGGCCAAGAGACACTTTGGCCCTTTTAAAATCATCAAGCGCATTGGATCTGTGGCGTATCACCTAGATCTTCCATCTTCATCCCGTATTCATCATGTAGTTCATGTTTCCCTCTTGAAACCTCACCATGGCCGCAACCCTGTGACAGATCCTCCAATTTCTCCACCAGCAGATTGCATCCGGTACAAAGACGCCGAGACGGTCGAAACTCAGAACAACACCCAACATGCAGTGACTAGGACTCATACAAAACCAGAGAAAGAGAGGAGTTCGTTTTTGAAAGAAGAGGTGCAACGTTTAGGGTTCACAAGGGAAGCTTCTGAATGTATTGAGAAGATAGAGAAATGGAAGAGACTTCAAGGGCATGCACCACCTTCTCAAGTGCAAGATAACATGTTGGATTCGTGCACCGTTCCTCAAACCACACGCCAACGGACACTTGTCCCTTTATGCCAGCCACGCGTGCGTTGTTCCAACATCAATGTTCCCACTTCTCAAAATTCTCCTTTACAACTGGTTTCAACTTCCCAAGCCACTACTCCCAAGACTTCTAACACCTTATATATTCCTCACAGTAGCATGCCCATTTCGTCTAGAGGGCCCGACCCATTTCCACACTTTCAGTCCACAAAATTGTCACCTATGAACCTTGAGGACAAGGTTCTTTATGGGTCAGAGAGTATTGTTATGCAGAAGGCAAGATCCAATAGAGAAAGAAGAAAATATGTGTTATTAAGAGACTATATTACAAAATAGAGGGTGTGCTAGCATTAGTTTAATTATTATTTTTATCTTTCAAGAGGCCCATGGCCCAATTCAGTATTTCTAACTCTAGATCTATAAATTGTATGACTGTTGGTTTTATGAAGAACAAGAAAAAGAAAAGTTATTTTATTTCATATCTTCTTATACAATTTCATAATCTAGTGATTAGCTTAGTGTAGACTATCACATTGATTACGGGTTGTCATGATGTAAATTAACTACAATTTATTTTTTAATATAAAAAATAATTATAACGGTATTGTTATATGTCAAAACCATTTTGTCTCGCCCGTTTTCGCGACTGCGGATCGTATTTTAAAATCTTAGTCGTAGGTAATTTTCTTTTTAAAGTTTTATAAGAGATTTAAAAAACCTATTTATATATCATATAATATATCACATTGGGGTTGACTAATTGTTGACTAATATTTCTCCTCTATCATAACAACCTAATTAAAAAAAAGTTCTAAGATTTTTTATAATATTTTAGTTTAGTGTCTATTTAGGAAATTTTAAATAATTCATAAATCTACAACATTAATTAAACCCTTTCAAAAAAGCATAATTTTTTTTTTTTGACAGGAGCATACTATATCTCTTCTCAAAATCATGTATCTTGAAATATAATCTAATTAACTAAAATTTTAAAAAATAATGTAAGAACACACACTGGAAGTATATTTTAACATTCTTTTGCTAATTAAAGTTTATAACTAAATTTACAAGAGATTCACTGTCAATATAATATTGAAAAATAATTTGATATCTTGGTTCGCTGGTTCCCTTCGGTTCTCACGGTGCTTCATTGTTCTAACATTATTAGAGCAATCTGTATCAATTGCTTTAATGCTATAAGACTCCATCAATATAGCCTTTAATAAAATGTTCAACCAGTTTCCCTTTTGACGATATATTTATGGAGGTTAACTTAGAACACATTTTCATATATTTTTGTGAAATATTGCGAGTATATCAAATAGCATTTACTCAAACATGTGTGTTAACAAGCACAAAATTGAAAGGATGCAAATGAGAGAAAATTCAGTAAAGGCTAATAGGAACTACGAAGATATAAAATGTCATTAAAATTAGTTTCATTAAAATTCACACATGTGTGAAGTTCAACTTTGTGTTAGTACTTTTGAAACTGTGTACAGTCAAAATAATGACAAAGATGTTAATGAAAATTGTATTGTATTCTTCTACTTTAGTATCCAGCAATTGTTGGAGGAGGAGGTGACCTATATTCAGCTCCAATGTTTGGTGGTAGTGTGATGTCATCCCATGTTGGTGGTGGTGGTGAATTGACCGGTGGTGGAGGTGAGTTGACTCTGGGAGGAGGTGAGTGTACTGGTGGTGGTGGTGAATAGACCGGTGGAGGAGGAGAATGAACTGGTGGGGGTGGTGAGTGAACTGGAGGTGGTGGAGAATGGACTGGTGGGGGAGGAGAGTGAACTGGAGGTGGAGGAGAATGGACTGGCGGGGGTGGAGAGTGAACTGGAGGTGGTGGTGAGTGGACTGGCGGGGGAGGAGAATGAACTGGAGGTGGTGGTGAATGGACTGGTGGGGGTGGAGAGTGAACTGGTGGTGGGGGAGAGTTGACTGGTGGTGGTGGAGGAGGAGAGTAAACTGGTGGTGGTGGAGAATAAACTGGTGGAGGGGGAGAATGGACTGGCGGGGGAGGAGAGTGAACTGGAGGTGGTGGTGAATGGACTGGTGGGGGTGGAGAGTGAACTGGTGGTGGGGGAGAGTTGACTGGTGGTGGTGGAGGAGGAGAGTAAACTGGTGGTGGTGGAGAATAAACTGGTGGAGGGGGAGAATGGACTGGCGGGGGTGGTGGAGGGGAGTACACTGGTGGTGGTGGTGGAGAGTTAACTGGCGGAGGAGGGGAGTAGGCAGGTGAGGGTGGTGGAGGAGAGAAAACTGGTGGTGGTGGTGAAGACACTGGTGCAACAGTTGGTGGAATATCTTCAACTGGTGGTAGCATAGGTGTGTGCTCAACCGGTGGTGGTGATGACACTGGTGCAACGGTTGGTGGAATATCTTCAACGGGTGGTAGCATAGGAGGAATGTGCTCAACCGGTGATGGTGGTGGTGATGACAACACTGGAGAAACGGTTGGTGGGATATCTTCAACTGGTGGTAGCATAGGTGGATTGTGCTCAACCGGTGCCGGTGGTGGTGGTGATGACAACACTGGGGAAACAGTTGGTGGAATATCTTCAACCGGTGGTAGCATAGGTGGATTGTGCTCAACTGGTGCCGGTGGTGGTGGTGATGACAACACTGGAGAAACAGTTGGTGGAATATCTTCAACTGGTGGTAGCATAGGTGGATTGTGCTCAACCGGTGCCGGTGGTGGTGGTGATGACAACACTGGGGAAACAGTTGGTGGAATATCTTCAACTGGTGGTAGCATAGGTGGAATATCCTCAACCGGTGGAAGTGTTGGTGGAATATCCACAACCGGTGGTAGCATAGGTGGAATATCCTCAACTGGAGGAAGTGTCGGTGGAATTTGTGGTGGTGGAGCCTTTGGTGTCTCCACCTTAGGTGGGTGAGACTTCGATGGATTTGAAGGAGTTGGTTTAGGTGTTGAAGGACCATGACTCTTCCCTTTTCCTCCATCACAACTTTTGCTACAATCCACAGGTCTAGTCAAAACAGGCAAACATTGTTTAGATGTCTTTTGATTCTTCCTTCCAGGTAAACAATTTTTAACATCATCCAAAACCACAACAGAATTATTTGAAGGAACACATGTTTGAGCTTCTCCATTAAAGTAATTATAAGAAAATGTAAAGTTACTCAACCTAGGTAGTTGACAAATAGTGTTAGAAACATAACCACTAAACTTGTTATGTCCTATGTCAATAACCTCAACATTCTTCAATCCAACCAACTTTGGTAGTGTCCCAACAAACCCATTTTTGCTAGCATCCAAAACTATCACTTCCCCTAACAACCCAATCTCTTGTGGAAAACAACCACCAAGACCATTTCCTAAGAAAACAATCTCATTCAAGTTCTTCATGTTTCCAATTGATTTTGGAATACAACCTGTAAAATGATTGTTTGCAAAGCTCACAATAGAGGCTGGTGATTTTCCAAGTGTTTCCGGTATATGTGATGTGAAACGGTTGTTGTTCAAAAATATTGCATCAAGTTCTTTCTCAAATAGCTCAGGAGGTAAAACTCCTTCAAAATCATTGAATCTAATATCCAAAAACTTCAAATTTTTCCATTTTAACACCACTAATGGAAATTCACCGACGAAGCGGTTGTTACTGATATCAAACTCATACATAAGGGTTAGATTCTCAAAGCTTTCAGGAATAATACCACAGAATCTATTTGAGTTAATATGGAAAAGAGCAGTGTCATTCAATAGTCCTAACTCTTCGGGAAGGTGACCGGCGATATCCGCGTGATTAATATCAACACCAGCAACAACATTCAATGTAGGATCATCAAGAGCAGGAGAACAAAACACACCATTATAAGAACAAACATCAGGACCAACCCAATTAGAAGTTGTGTTAAAAGGGTCAGAATAAATAGCTTTTTTCCATGCTTGAAATGCAACATAAGAATGTTTTAGCCTCTCATTAGGAAAACATTTGTCAAGAGTTCCATTTTCAGAATTTGCAGGCGAAGGAGCGGGAGAATCACCGATCAACGGCTCGGGTGATTGAGCTGGAGCATCACCAACACCAAAATCATTTCCTGATGATGAGAGATCATCACCGGGAATAATTATTGGATCAATGAGAAAATGACTTTGGCCATAGGTAAAGGTTAAAGAAGAAGAAACAAAAAATGAAAACAAAAGAAAGCAACCTATGACCTTATTAGAATAATGGTGAGCCATGGCTAACCACCTAGGTCGGCCAAGGCTGCATATACTAAAAGTCTAAGGAAATGAAAAAAAGAAAGGGTGTTATATTGAGGAAGATACAAGGTTTGTTGAATCCTACACCCATTATGGAATGGTAGCAAAAATAGAATTTCTATAACTAGATTGTTTTTTGTTCCGAATGTCATGGTTTCTCTGTAAGATAGACACTAATATTGGTATGGTACTAATTTTGGTTTAGGCAATATTAATAGAGGATATAGGTTGTTACCAACAATGAGGTAATAACTTGCATTGTGTAAAATAACAATAAGCTTATAGCCGATAATTTATTGACTTGGTCATTCTTTAACAAACTAAGAACTAAATTTTCATTGGTTTTAAATTATATACCATTTATATTAGTAATATTTGATCTTCATATGAAGTAATCATGATCAACCAATCCAAATAGGTTTATTTGGAGAAAAATATTGTTATTATTAACATCATCATTATAAGATTGCAACAAAAAAAGATGATATTTTTATTATTATTATTATTATTATTATTATTATTATTATTATTATTATTATTATTATTATTATTATTATTATTATTATTATTATTATTATTATTATTATTATTATTATTATTATTATTATTATTATTATTATTATTATTATTATTATTATTATTATTATTATTATTATTATTATTATTATTATTATTATTATTAGTATTATTATTATTTATTTATTTATTTATTTTTTAATAAAAAGAAATTTTTTTATAAATAGATTAAAAAACAATACAGCGTAAGCGATCAAAAGAGATCCAACAACAATAGACAAACAAAAACCAACAGGCAAACTACACTTAAGGCATCAAAAGCTTTCTTATATGTTGCCTAAGTTTAGGATGAGTCCAACATCTATAAACAATACAATTCACTATGCCATTGCCTATGTTACGGTTCATATTACCTACATTCACAACAAAACAGATATAATTTCTGAAATTCCAAGCTTCATATATAGTTTCCAAAAAAGCACATTTTAGCAAGTTGGCTCTCCAACCTTTCCTCTTACAGTTCTCAAACATCTAATTAAGCTCCTCCAATCAACCTTTGGGACTGTGAATAATCTGAAGCCAATTGAGGACCTCTAACCAAATATTCCTCATAACATCACATTCAAAGAAGAGATGCTGAAGAGACTCAGTTTTTCTGCAAAAACAACACTCCACATTGCTAAGCATGTCAAATCTAGCCAACCTCTCTTTGGTAGACAAACTATTATGACAAGCCCTCCAAATACACTGCACTACACGAGGCCTAGCAAAATTACCAATGAGCAGATTCCTCCAATCAACCTTGAGATCACTGTCGCAAAGTTCCATGTACAACTCTCTAGCTTAAAAAATATTATTGTGATTCATTTTTTTCCCAAGACTGAGATTAAGGGCAAAGTCCATGCACTTCAAAACTGTCTGCAGGATCCAAGAGCAACTTTGTTTTACATTTACTTCCATAACAGTGGACTCCTTCACATAATAGCTGTGAACCCACCTAATCCAAAGGCTGTCTGCCTTGCCACATAAATTCCAAAGCAATCTGCACATGCTAACCTGATTCCACAACTTGAGATTTATGATGTTAAGTCCCCCACGACTTTTAGGCTTGCAAACTTTATCCCAGGAAATAGGAGACTTCCTTGAGATAAACTCCTTCCCTGTCCAAAGAAAGGTTCTCAAAATAGCATTCACTTTTTCTAAAACTAGCTTCGGAATGGGCATGCATTGCATCTAGAAATTAGTGATAGCAAAAAGGACACTTTTAATCAGCTGAGCTCTTCCAGCAAAACTAAGTAACTTAGTGCTCCAATGCTTAACTCTGCTAACAATTTTTTCTACCAAAATCAAACAATGATGACTGAAAAGTTTCTTACTCGTGAGGGGTATACCCAAATACCTAAACGACAAGAGACCTCCAGCAAAAGAGGTGACCAGGGATATGTCCTATTTAATAGCATCATCCACATTACCAAAATAGGCATTGCATTTAGAAGGGTTCACAACAAGACCAGTTGAAACAGAGAATTTCTCAAAGGTTGTTAACATGGCCTTCACAGAATTAACATCACCTTTGGAGAAAAGTAAGAGATTGTCTGCAAAACAAATTTCCATAATGCGCAAGGACTTGCATTTAGAATGGAACTTAAACTCAGATTTACTACTTAAACTAACCATGACCCTATGAAGGCATTCCATGACAATCACGAATAAAAGGGGAGACAGGGGATCCCCTTGTCTCAAGCCACGCTTAGTGTTGTACTAAAAAAATTTCCATCTCTTTTCTCAAGACATTTTACAAAGGATCTCTGATGCTCAAGGATCCTCAAGGAATTGATCAAACAAAATCACCTTCAAAACACTGAGACCACAAATTAGGGTTTTGACTAAGAATGACTGATCACTGACTTTTGACCTAATACACAATCTATTGGTTTGAAACATGGTCTCAAGGATTCAAATGCATCATTTTGACCTAATTACATATATCAATTCATTTATTAAGATCAATTGATTGATAGCTGAAATTCAGTCAACTGATGAAAAGTCAACTGATACACCAAAAGTAGAACTTTGACTTTTCGGTCAACATTAAGTTTCAAAGATCAAAATTCATCAAGACATTCAAGAATATAAAGCTTGGTCATCAAGAAGTCAAGAAAGTAAAAAGTCAATTTGAAAATCAAACTTTTCAAGACTTAGAAATTTTTCTAAGTGTTTTGTACATGATAATTTCACTACTTCATGCCAATTTTTCACCAAGATGCATGATGATTCAAAGGAAACTTTCAACATGAAAGTTGTAGATATTGATGAATTCTAAAACTTTGTAATGGAGAGTTGATGTCCAAAAAACGCTTAAATTTGAAGATATAAGCCCATGAAGTCATGACATTTTCATCTAACACTCAGAAATTTCCAACAGATTTTGGCCAGGATTTCATCCCAACTTATTAGCATTTTTTCACATAGTTCAAAGATGATTTTTTTTAAATGGAAAACATGAAAGTTATAGAGGATGTTTAAAGCTTTCCAAAACATCCAAGAGCGTGAATTTATCATACTTGAGCTAGGAGATTCAAAGGCCTGAAGTTGGGCATCCATTCTTGAATTGCAAGTTATTTTGTTGAAGAACAAATAATCCAATTTGCATGATGTGCTTCATAATCTTACTTTGCAGGCCTTGCAACTTGAAAAACTATCCATAATCATATGTTTACACAATTGATTGAACCATTATCCAAGTGATTTAAGTATTGTCCATTGCATCATTCCATTTATGGCACAAAGGCACCATTGGCATTCATATAAAGTATGCTTTATGCAATTGTCAATTCCTTGAGCCTCTCAATTTTTTTCTCTGCACATACATAATGTAAAAGTAAGAAGCAACATGCCTAAAAGCCTCTAGAAACTTCAGACCATGCTTGTACCATGCATTGGAACACCAATTTCATAATAACTTGGTTGTTTCATCTCAACTAAACTAGAATTTTAACAACTTGTAAAAAAAAAAATCTCATCCTCTCAAACCTCCTTTATAAATAAAGAGGCTATTTACAATCTAAGGGAGAAGTTTTTGTTGTGTAGACAAGCCCTCAAAATCTCATACTCTAAAAAATCCATAGCGATCCACAAAACCTCCACTCTTGAGCTTTGAAGTCCAAATCTTTGAACCTCTCACACCTTGCAAGTTTTGTACAAATAAACTATCCGCATACTTCATATACCTCATATAGAAGTTGTTCAAACACAAGAACAACTTCTGTTACATCATCATCACCATTTACCAAAGAACAATAACCTGTAACTTGGTTTCTCCAACTCTAAGTTAAAACACAAATTTCAGCTTCAAGGTAAGTTTTCTTGACTTTAAACTCTTCATATAAAGCATCATTAATGATTCATTAGTGAAGATAAAATGTAGATATCATTGCCTTGAAGCTAACCATATGCTTGCTTTTCATTTTCATTAACCATGTGTCGAGAACTGACTTTTACATGAAGCAGAACAATGATAGAAGTAAAAAAAATAGCAGTATGAGTCGACACGAAACACTACGAGTCGTCACATGCTATGTACAAAATAGGTTATGAGTTGATACAAAACGCGCATGTGTCGATACGAAACGAAAATGAGTCATGCAAACCCTTATGTGTCAACTCATACTGAACTATTTTTGACTTCCATGAGCAAGAAAATGACATGTGTCGATGCAAAGCTGATATGTGTCGATGCAAAAAAGGAAAATGAGCCAATGCAGACCATTATGTATCAATACATGATGAGTTTGGTTTTGAATTTCCAAAATATTTTATTTATCATTTATAACTTTAATATATTCCTATTGTTACTTCTTTCTAAACCAAAAGCCAAAAAAAAATTTTTTTTTTATTAAAATCAATTTCTTTTCTTAAAATTAATTTAATATTTAGACTTAGGTTTATCTTTTCTTTAAAATTAATTTAGAACTTAGGGATTTTAATTAATTAATTTTTTATATTTACTAATTTAATTTAATTAAAACCTTTTCACAAAAATCCTAAACTTGTTTCTTTAATCAAATTAATTTTCTTAGTTAACTTAAGTTTAATTTTCTTAGTTTAATTAATTTATTTTCTTTTAGTTAATTAGGTCAAAACCCTTTCTTCATAACAAAAACATTTTCGTTTCTTTTCATATCATTTTATTCTTTGTACATTATATTTACATTTTATTGTACGTTATTGTTCAATTCAATATGATTGTTATAGTAAATTAGGATTTATTTGCTTTCATCCCCCCATTTGTAAATTTGTACTCCCATCCCCAAATGATGTAATAGCGTAGAATCTTTATATTTCGCAATTTATCGCTTTCAAATATAAATGCTAGTAATTAGAGTGTGTATGGCAAGATAAAATCAACTGTTAGAAAAACCTAATCTCAAATACAAAAATGCATGTAATCAAACACTTTTCAC